CTTGTATTCAAGATAAATGGATATTTTTTTAATTGAAGTAAAGACAAGTGAACACACTTTTAGATGACACCAATAACTCTACATGCCCACAATTGACGAGAGCCTGATTCCACCACGCTGCCTCACATGTAACAGTAACATAAAACATTGTGTTCTGACTAAAGAAAATTATTCCAAATGTCCATCTTATTAATTTAAAAACAAATGCCATAGATTAGAGAGAGACGTTTTTAGACAGTAACGTTCAAGGTAAAGAAGGAGAGATGATGATGCTGATGATAAATGTTCGATAGGAGAGAAGGAGCGAACAACACCAGTGCGCCCTCCAAGCACACTCGAAAGAAAATTAAGGATTTTAAAATAAATGCATCAATTTTAGCAAGCTTTAATTGATTCTAAAATTAGGGGTTATTTCGTTTTGGGTGTTCGGGTTTGGTAAGAGTTTTACATCGCTCGCAACTGCATAAGGTCATGTGAGTGCGTTTTAGTTGTGAGTTTTCTCGAAAATTTGGTGTTAGCTACTCACTCACCTCACAAATCCTTGCTTGCCTCTCGAGAAATTCTGTTGTTCAGTGTTGATGTTACCAGAAAAAATCTCACTCGATCTTGCACTAGCTGATCTTCACCTGTGAAAAAGAGAGGGAGTTTTTTTTTAGTTCTTGTAAAAGTTTCCCGATACTTGCAACACAATTAGGTCATAGTTAATATAAGAGCTAAAGATTAGAGTTGTTACTAGAGAGTAACATTAAAGGAAAGAAAAAGGAAAGAAGAGATATGGACGACAAATGTTTGAAAGGAAAGAAGGCGCGAAACATGTCCGAACGCCTGGCAACCAATCACGAAACACGAGGGAGAAATGAACGTGTCAATTAGTTCTGACAATAAGCAGAAAGTATACACTCACAAAAACGTAACTGACTCACTGTTTTCTATTTGTAGAAAAGAGAACCTTGCTTCCCCTCCTTCTCCCCATCCTTTTTTTTCTTCTTTTCCTTTTGTTGTTGTTGTTGTTGTTTTTCCCTTCTTCTTCTCCTTCTCCTTCTCCTTCTCCTTCTCCTTCTCCTTCTCCTTCTCCTTCTCCTTCTCCTTCTCCTTCTCCTTCTCCTTCTTCTTCTTCTTCTTCTTCTTCTTCTTCTTCTTCTTCTTCTTCTTCAAAGAAAATTTCCCACACAACTTTTTCGACAGCTTCTGAACCTAATCCAAAGGCAGATTTTAGAAGCAAGAAGAAACAAAACAAAAACAAAACGAAATAAAAAATAAAGTAAATGAAATGAATAAAACTAAAATAAAACGAAGATAAAATGATGATAATATGAAATAATCCGAGGGAGAAAAAAACAAAAACAAAAACAAACATGATCCTATAAAAATGAGAAAGCGGACCCGCTGTTTCGGGGTGAAATTGAAGTCCAGATTCCCGCTTTGACGTCATTGTCAGACCCGATCTTCTCATAACCGTTCACAGCCACGCCCCCACTTCCTTAACCCCTTGCACACGCACAATCTGGTCATTCGACAAGGCTTGGAGACACGCTGTTTTGAAGTATAACTTCAAGGTATAGCTTCTCCTTTCATGCAGATTTTTAGATTCTGCTTTTTTTAAAAAGAAACGTTAAAATGCAAGCAGCAACACGCAGTACTTTGATGTGGGCAATATCTTGTTTTTTATTTGTTTATGATGGTTTCAATCGTTCACAGCCACGCCCCCACTTTCTTCACTCTTTGCAGACGTGCATAATTATGTTCTGGTCATTCGACAAGGCTTGAAGACGACGCTGTTTTGAAGTATAACGTATCTGTCTATGCAGATTTCTAAGTTTTTTTCTTTATCGGAAACTTAAAAGTGTAAGCAACAGCGAGCATGTTACTCTGAAATACGCAGTACGTTTTTTATTATTTGTGTATGATGGTTCACATACACAAATAAAAAAAAACGTATGCAAAGAGTTAAGAAAGTGGGGGCGTGGCTGAGAACGGCCACGCCCCCACTTTCTTAACTC